GTGTGAGGGATTGCTGAAGAGTCAATGGGTCGATGCAATCAGCTGGTTTTCCTTAGATAGAAAACTTTGAATCAAACTGGTGAACTGGAAAGTGACCTGAGATGACATGATGTGAATTGGAGCTATAGAAATAAACTGAATAGAATAGAACAGAGCGCCCCCACCAACTTTCAAACAAATCAATCAATCAATCCATCAATAAACCAATAAATCAATAAATCAATCAATATAAATCAATTAATAAACCAACCAATCAATCAATAAATCGATCAATAAACCAATCAATAAATAAATCGATCAATAAATCAATCAACCAATCAGAGTTCTCATCAGTCAAGAAAAGAAGGAATTCCCGGATCTTCTCCAGTAGAACCAGTCACATGGTTCTGTTTTTATGGATCCTTGGTTCCATCTTTAAATCATAATTTAAGTTCATTTTTTAATAAACATTTCCACATTATTCTCGGTTCATTCGAGCTGTTTAAGCGCCCCCTAGTGGCAAAATTCTTTGCATAGTTTCTCAGTTTATACTAAGAGATTCATCAAGTCTGTGATGTCACTGCGGCACCACACCGGAAATGTTTGTTTCTTTTAACAAAATAAAAGTTTGCCAGCATCGCGTCGCTTAATTATCTTTATCCACAGGCCTCTAAATCATGCAGCAGTCTCTGCATCAAACTGATCATATCAATGTTTTTTTTTTCTCCCACAATGTTTACATTTGATCACTGCTGCACTTTATGGAATGGAAATGTTCTGAAAGCTGCACAAAATCAAATTTCAAGGTGATGATATGATGATCAACTGTTCTCTGTTTGCAAAGATATGAAAATAAAGTGCTGACTAACTGAAATCCATCGATCTCCGTTTATTTAACTAGGATGAATAGTTCAATACTGTTTTCCTTTTTTGTTGATCCTAAATAACACGCCGCTGTCATTTTGCACATCTTAACTGTTGCTGCTAAGTCTATAACCACTTACTGGAAAAAATGTCCACAGATGTTTTTTTTTTTTTTTGGTTATTTATCCTTTTTTTAGTTACTGCTACTAATTTTAACTGTTACTAATTTTTATGGCTTTTAAATGTTTATATCTATGTGACTCTTTTATAATTATTGTCCAAAACTGGAAAAATAAAGTAATTTTCTACTCCTACTCTATATACAAAAGGATAATTATTGCTGCCGACGATATTGAAACGAATTGAAAGAATAAAATATAAAAATTACTCTCTACTCCTAATACTTTATTTTCTCTATAAGAGCGCAGCGTCGCTGTGTGTTTTATTTTGAAATCAGACCGGAAGTCGCTTTGTGTATATAGAGTGCGTGTTTCTTCGCTCCGGTCAGTTCGGGTCTCGGTTCTGTGGGTCCAGAGCTTCCTACGGCTTGGTTCTCCGCCGCGTCATGAAGGAACCGGTCCGAACTGGATCAGAACTTTGTGTCGGTGAGTTGGTTTCATGTCGGACCGCTAACCCGCAGCTAACGGACCGCAGCGGGAAGAAAAAAAGGCGCAAAGTTTATTCTCAGAAACTTTCTGCGCTGTTTTCTCGCCGCGAGCCTTTTGTTCTGCGGCTCGCGCCTCCGTTCCCATGGTGAAGCTTCTCCGGCCCGCGAGGGTCTCCGAGCGGAGCCGAAGGCTGTCCGGAAACAGCCGAGCGTCCGAGGCGCTTAAACACCGAAGCTGGTTCGGTTCTGTTCGGAGTCTAGAACCGGTAGTTCGGTTCTGGTCGGTGCTCTTTGATCCTTGTTTACTTTAAATCTGATCATAAATAAAATGAGTTTATTTGTTGGTCTGCAGACAGAACCGATCCTGAGAACCAGAACCGGATCATCTCGGTACCAGGAACGGTTTTACCAGAACCGAACCTGACCCAGTTGTAATGCAGACTGAACTGGAATCAGTGTAAATGGTTGTGGGTGTGACTCTGGTGTCAGACTGGATCTGATTGGGTCCAGTCCTCGTTAGGAACTGGTTCTGTGTAAATAAACCAAACAGGTTCATCTGGATCTTCTCTGGTCGGTTCTGGTCCACCAGCTGGAGACCAGAACCCAGTGGAACCGTGACCCAGTGAGACCTTCAGGCAGCGGATCTGATGGTACCAGCTGCTGGTTTTACTGTCCTACCGCTGTCTGTGGTCCTGATGGGACCTGATGGGACCTGATGGGAC